ACAGAAGATTTCAAAAAGCAGCTAGAGCAGGCAAAGCCAATTACTATAATGAAATGTGCAAAGACCTGGAGTTAGAAAACCAAAAGGGAAGAACATGCTTGGCATTTCTCAAGCTGAAAGAACTGAGGAAAAAATTTAAGCCTCAAGTTGCAATATGAAAGATTCTATGGGCAAAATACTGAATGATGCAAAGGCAAAAGGCAACCATTGCCCTGGAGTCAGTCTTGACTCATAGCGACCCCTCCTTGGGTTTCCGAGGCAGTTTCACTATGGAAGTAAATTGCCCAACCTTCCTCCTGGGGAGTGGCTGGTTGGTGTGGACCACCAGCCTTCTGGTTAGCAGTCAAGTGCCTTAGATACTACGCTACCAGAGCTCCCATTGAATGATGCAGGAAGCATCCAAAGAAGATGGAAGGAATACACAGAGTCACTGTACCAAAAAGAACTGGTTGATCTTCATCCATTTCAGGAGGTGGCATATGTTCAAGAACCAATGGTATTGAAGGAAGAAGTCAAAGCTGCACTGAAGGAATTGGCAAAGAACAAGGCTCCAGGTATTGACGGAATGCCCACTGAGATGTTTCAACAAACGGATACTCCATTGAAGGCACTCACTCGGTTATGCCAAGAGATTTGGAAGACAACTACCTGGCCAACTGAATGGAAGAGATCCATATTTGTACCCATTCTAAAGAAAGGTGATCCCACAGAATGTGGAAATTATTGAAAAATATCATTAATATCGCATACAAGTAAAATCTTACTGAAGATAATTAAAAAACGGTTGCAGCAGTATATTGACAGAGAACTTCCAGAAATGCAAACTGGATTCAGAAGAGGATTTGGAATGAGAGATATCATTGCTGATGTTAGATGGAACTTGGCACAAAGCAAAGAATATCAGAAAGATGTTTTTTATTTACTATGCAAAAGCATTTGACTGTGTGGATCATAACATTGTGGATAACATTGGGAAGAATGGGAATTGCAGAACACTTAATTGTACTCATGAGGAACCTGTGCATAGACCAGGAGGCTGTCATTCAAACAGAAAAAGGGACCACTACATGGTTTAAAATCAAGAAGGGGGTGTGTTAGGATTGTATCCTTTCATCATACTTAGTCTGTATGCTGAGCAAATAATCTGAGAAATTGGACTATATGAAGAAGAATGTGGCATAGGATTGGAAGAAGAATCATTAACAACTTGCGATATGCTGATGACACAATTTTGCTTGCTGAAAGTGAGGATGACTTGAAGTACTTACTGATGAAGATTGAAGAATACAGTCTGCAGTATGGATTATATCTCAATATAAAGAAAAAAAAAAATCCTCACAACTGGTCCTATAAGCAACATTATGATAAATGGAGAAAAGATTGAAATTGTCAGACTTTGCATTGCTTGGTTCTACAATCAATGCCAATGGAAGCAGCAGTCAGGACAACAGATGACATATAGCACTGGACAAATCAGCTGCAAAGGACTTCTTTCAAGTGCAGAAGAGCAAAGATGTCTCCTTGTGGACTAAGATGTGCCTGACATAACCCATGGTATTTTCAATCGCCTCACATGCATCTGAGAGCTGGACAGTGAATAAGAAGACTGAAGAGGAATTGATGCTCTTGAGCTGTGGTGTTGGCGAAGAGTGCTGAGAGTACAGTGGACTGCTAAAAGAACTAACAGGTCTGTCCTGGAGAAAGTGCAGCAGCCAGAATGCTCCTTGGAGGCGAGAATGGCAAGACTTCATCTCACATACTGTGGTCATGTTGTCAGAAGGGACCATTCCCTGGAGGAGGATGTCATGCTTAGTAAGGTGGAGGGTCGACGAAAGAGGGGAAGGCCCTCAATGAGATGGATTGACGTGGTTGTAGCACCGATGGACTCAAGTATAGCAAGAATCATGGAGCTGGCTCAGGACTGGGTAGTGTTTTGTTCTGCTGTGCATAGGGTTGCTATGAGTTGGAGATGACTTGATGGCACCTAACAACAACAACAACAACACGTCTCATCTCCATACCATTTAATGGGCTGGATTAGCTAAAATCAGGGACCCATGTTCTTACTAGAATTTTATTGATAAGACAGAGTATAAATAGAGCCTCAAGTTAATATAGCATCTTTTGTTCAGAAAGTACACAGCTTCATGTTATTACTTTATTTCCATAAAGAGCTGTGGTGATGCTGTGGTTAAAACATTGCGATGCTTCAGTGGTTTGAGCCCAACAGCAACTCCGTGGGAGAAAGATGATGCAGTCTGCTTCTGTAAAGATTTACAGCCTTGGAACCCTATAGGGCAGTTCTATTCTGTCCTGTAGGTTTGCTATGAGTCAGAAACGACTCAGTGGCAGTGGGTTTGGGGTTTATTTCCATATAATGCTTGAATTACGAGGGAGAAATGGAAATAATATTAGTTTTTCTTATAACATTTCATTTCAAGGCCCTAACCCATTCACTTTAGTGGACTTAAATATTTAAAGAAGCCCTTGAATCTGGTGCCTTGAAAATTATGAATGTTGTGTTGTTAGGTGCCATTGAGTCAGCTCCGACTCATAGCGACCCCATGTACAACAGAATGAAACACTGCCTGGTCCTGTGCCAGCCTAACGATCCTTGCTGTGCTTGAGCCCATCATTACAGCCATTGTGTCAATCCATCTTGTTGAGGGTTTTCCCCTTTTTCACCAACAATGATATACTT